GTACTCTTCTAGTCTAAAAAAACTCATTTGTTGAAATGGGGGGGCCTATTGTTTGAACCCCTTAGGGGCTTTTAAAAACAAAAATGTATTTTTTTGCGCTTTATGAAACAAAGTACCCTATATTTTGTGGATGTACAGCTACATTTCTCATGTAAGTTTGCGTAGTTTTAACACAAACATTTATTTTTCATATTGCACCAGTACAGTTAATGAGCAACCTGTACTTGTGTGCTTGTTTGTTCTGTCTAAAATGTTTATTTTGGAATAAAGAGGTTAATATAAAAAATATTTTTTGTCCGATTCATCGATTAATCGAAAAAATAATCGTCCGATTCATCGATTTTTAAAATAATCGTTAGTTGCAGCCCTAATGAATATAAATAACCCAGAAATTATTTCTGGGTCGCATATTTCTAAATCAGTATTACAAATTTCAATATGAACCTGTGTTTTTAGTCCAAATATTGGGCCCTGGATGAACAGGGGGAGACGTGAATATTTAAGTTGTATTAAAACAAAACAAAAGGCTCAAATGAAATTCCACAAAAAAAAGCATAGTGTAACAAAACAAAACTTAGTAAGGAAAGTTCTCAACAAAGTTAAAGTTCCCTGACTTTACTGGAAAAGGAAAAAAAACATTTTTTTTTTAAACAAAATAAAAAAGTTCAGTCTTGATAATCAGAAGAATTTACAAGTTAATCGTTTTAGGACATTTACACGTATATAATCTGGAACTAAAAAATAACTCAAAATAAAGGTTTGTTTTAAATATTGTATTTTGTTAGCAAGGAGATGATTTGTTTTTCCAATATAAATTTTACTAGTGTTCATCAAAATCATCTAGGGCTGCAACAACGAATAGATAAAATCGATAAAAATCGACTTTTAAAAGCGTTGGCAACGAATTTCGTCATCGATTAGTTGTGTCGCGCGATTAATGCGTCATCCGCCGCGCCGTCATCACTGCCTCTTGACTGAAAGAGGAAGAAGAAAAAAATACGGCAGAGCGAGCCAGCGCCGCAGGTGCAGTGTTGCCAACTCAGCGACTTTTCAGACCCCTCCAGCGACTATTTTTCAAAAAAGCGACTAGCGACAAATCTGGCGACTTTTTTCGGTGTCACTGGCGGCTTTTGGAGACTCTTACGTGAAAGCATGTATCGTTCCTACTCTGCCGTGGGGCGCCTCCCCCCGCTCCCGCAGGAGTCCCTCTCAGCGCTGCAGTCAGAGCCTCAGCGTCCAGACTGCAAATGAAGCGCGCATGCACCGGGATTGACGGCGCAAATTGATCACAATAATTAAAATAGCCTGCGCTTTGTAAAGTGAAAAAAGTGATAACATGCAACTTTTGTCAAAAGAAATTAACATGGCACGGAACCACCATGTTTGTTTGGTTTTAAAGTGGGGAAACGTTACGTTAGTTTCTCAGGTAGCTCATCTGATGCTTTCCTTACCGTGTTAGTAGGTTACAGACAGTGATAAGGTTGGCTACTTATTTTACTTTTAATTTCATTTGAATTAGCTTAAGCAGCGTTTACATTTACTTTATAAATAAATTAACTTGCAAATTATGAGGGCAAGGCTTTTAAAGTTTAAATCTTCTGGCGAAGATAAAGTAAAGAAGATCCTGCAATTTATGGAAGTAAAGCAGAATAAAATCCAGCAAGATCAGTAATATGTCAATTAATTATTTGCCACGTTTCCATGTAAATATCTGTCTTTGGAGGATGTGTTTTTTACCCCCCCTAGTTCTCTCATTTTTATTCCAAATACAATTTATAATTTGAATCACAGGGCTATTTTTATCTCTATGGTTAAGTATTTTCTCAAGTAGCAACTTTAACTGCTATACTTTCCTGTCTTAAAAGGCAGAACTCTTCTAGTCTAAAAAAACTCTTTTTTTGCGCTTTATGAAACAAAGTACCCTATATTTTGTGGATGTACAGCTAAATTTTTCATGTAAGTTTGCGTAGTTTTAACACAAACATTTATTTTTCATATTGCACCAGTACAGTTAATGAGCAACCTGTACTTGTGTGCTTGTTTGTTCTGTCTAAAATGTTTATTTTGGAATAAAGAGGTTAATATAAAAAATATTTTTTGTCCGATTCATCGATTAATCGAAAAAATAATCGTCCGATTCATCGATTTTTAAAATAATCTTTAGTTGCAGCCCTAAAATCACCCAAACTGAAGTGTCAACTCTTTCAACTATTTCAATACATTTAAAAAGTTTAAAAATTGCTTAAAAAGAGGAAAATATATAGATTTTATAAAGCTCAACACAGCAATACAGCAAGCTAAAAACTCACCATGTTAGTCAATGACAAAATTACTATTATTTTGTTATTACTAACTTACATTCATATTTAATTTAAATGTATTTGTTCATCCCTGTTTTATTCTTTTATGCAAAAAAGTAGATTTAACTTATTTTATGTAGGGCTAAAACAAATAGAATAGAACAGAAAATCCCTTTTTTTGTCCCACAATGGGGAAGTTCTGGTGTTTACAGCAGCAAAAGATTATAGAAAAATAAATAAATACATAAATAAATTAGTGGATTAAATGTGATTAATAAATCAGTGGAAAATATTTCTAATCAAATCCTCCTTACTATTAAAGTAATTAGGACAGAATCTTCAAAATGATGACTTTTTCCATTTAAGAATAAGCCTCATAATTTGTTTTTACATGTTTCTGTCAATTAATATTACCATACGTTAAAATAAACATTTATTGTTGTTGTTTTTTTTCAAGCATATGCTCATTTATAAATGTTAATTTACTAAAAGCATAGCTTTTGATATTAATCAAAACAACAAAAAACAGATCACTCACATAATTGATTATATTAATGACCTTCCAAGCCATTATTATTTAAAAGACTTAAAAAGTATATGAATTGGAAATGTAAAAAATGTGGAATTTTTTTTTCCCCTCCGGAAACTGAATTACAAACTGCGTAAATACCATTTACATCAAATTACTTAATGTTCTTATTTTTCATCCCATTACCCTTTGGGTAACATTTGCTTACATTTACTCAAAATTACAGAATTTGGCAACACTAATTAATTAATTGCCTGCTTGCTTTTGTTTTATTACAATGAAAAAAATGATTCTCCTGACCTTCAAAAAAAATACTATCTGTATAGATTTTGCATTAGTTTACATTTTTCTATTTTTGCAACAAAAACATAAAATGGCTGCCAGTTATTTTTTGTGCACTTAACCTTTATAATAATTTCTTAATACTTTAAAAGAACAACACGTTCAGGCATGAGCTGTATTATAGAACGTGTGCTTGTCCCGTATTAGTGGCAGGCATGTTGCTCTTTTACTTTTTAAAGGTTGAGCTGTAATTAACAGAAGGGAAACAAAGAAAAAAGGCTAAAAGAAAGCACATTATATGCTGTTTAACTCCTTAAACCTGGAGTGTGAATGTATTTTACACAATTACAGTGACAATGCAATATAAATGCTGTCATAAAGTAAGCAGGCTGTGTAATAAACATACTATTATGCAGTGTGGCATTATGGATAACAGAGCCCTAGTCTTTTTTTTTTTTTTTTTTTTTGGAACTGGGGGAGGGCCAGCTGAAGCATTGCTCCAGCCTAGCGGCAGGCAGGAAAATAAAAGCCACATAATATAATCTGAACAGTGAACACACACACACAGGAATTTAAGATGGAAACCCTTAATCTGCACCATGCCTGCGTCAGTTCTCGTGATATTTCTCAGATTTGTTTTTTTTTAAACAGTTTTCAGAACAAGACAGAAAGAGGAAGGGGGGGGAATGAAACATGAATATTAATAGAAAAAAATGTCTCCTGTTTTGCACTGTGAATAAATAAACCAACAAATAAAACCCAGTCAGCACTACTGACCTTGGCTATATCCTGTTATTGAAAAGAACCTGACACAAGGGGAAAACAATATCTATCAACAAAATCTAAATATTTTAAAAACACATATCAACCTGAAATTCAGATATTTATTAGTTTTTATGGTGTAGCTGCCTAAAATATCCACTGCTATGTGTGTCCTCTCCATATTTCCTGTTTTTTTCAAGGCAGGACAACCTTATTTCAAGTACAGAAATGTACACAATATCAACATTCATCCATAAAAACTCCTGGAGACAAAATGTCGGAGTGGATTTTCTGGTAATAATATCAATATGCTGCTTCCTATTATTATTTCAACACAACTGCTGCTCCACCTAATAGTCCATGTCGAAAATTATATATATAGCTATATATATATATATATATATATATATATATATATATATATATATATATATATATTCAAATATACATACATATATATATAGATAGATATAAATCACCAATGTGCAATATTGCGTCGGTGAGAATAAATTCTTATAAAAAATAAAAATGGCGACGCGGCGGTTAGCTAAAAATGTGACCGAGCTGAATAAAAAAAAAAGTTTCCTGATATTTTCAGTCAGGCAGGGTTAAAAAAAAAAAAAAAAAAAAAAAAAAAAAAAGGAGGGGGGTTAGAAATTTTTATTTTTATTGCAAGCTAATGCGGGTGGGGGTTGGTAGCCGGGAGACTAATGTCGACACGACATTCACACACAAAGAAATTAATCATTAACATGGCGAAAATATCTGCGATATTAAACTGAAATTTAACGACTAGCCTCCAAGGGACAACCCCGGAGATATAACCGTCTATTCGGGCCTAAAATTCACAAATATCAACCGTTTATATGCAACCTCCGGCGGTGGGTGAAAAAAAAAAAAAGTTCAGGCTAGCTGAATAAAGTTGTAATTGCAGTCAGAGCAACTCTCGGTGGCTGATATGGGAAAACAATCAATACGACACGGCTAAAATCGGCTTAAATAAAGGCGGAAATTGACTTAAATTTGCTCTGGCATTCGATTAAAATATCCACGCGTCAATGGATGGTAAAATCTGCGTTCAGAAACGGACAAAAACGACATATATTTAGAAATTATATCGGCGTTACCTGTATTGCATTGTGCTCCATTGCAGTCCTGCATTCCCTCTTAGTGAGGCCCCCTCTCTCCGGTTACACCGCCGGGATACGCCGACACGCAAACAAGCGCACCACAGAGGAGGCGAAGGAAAAAAAAGCGCTTTTCTTTTATTCCCTTAAAAAAAAAAGAAAGAAAAAATGGGTGGAAATGGCACAGGATCTAGGTGTGGCCAAAGTTTGCCACAGAGAACAACTTTATACGAAATTCACATTTAAAGGGGGGCATATTTTACTTAACTGACATGACGTATTTCCGATTGAAACGGAATACGAGGGCGGGGTTAAAAAACAACAACTATAAAGATCGAATAAAATTTCCCAACATTCTCTTTTATCATACAATTCGTATACATATTTGAAAATGTCAAAACACCGTGTTTATACAGCCAGCCCCCCTATATTGACATTAATTGAAGAAAATAAATACATTCATAGATAACAACTTTAACACTCTTTGCTGTGTCTGCTCAGATCATTAAAGTAAAAAACAGAACTGATACTGGTTTGGAGTAAAGTTCCACATATACCTCTCAGTTTTCTACCTCATTATTTTTCAGCCTCAAATATGTTTGCAAAGAAAAAATAGAGAGACAGGAAGGGGATTTGAATAAACTCAACTAAATACATTTAAATTATAATTCTCTCAAATTTTCATACATGCAACATGTTTAAAGGAAACTGACGGATTCTTATTCAAAGCATTTTTCAAGTATGGCCACAGAGCATGTTTATTTTGGGGGAATTTTTGTGACGCACCAGTACAAATCTGTCAGTCAAGGAACTTTAGAAAATAAAGCATTCATATACATATATATATATATATATATATATATATATATATATATATATATATATATATATATATATATATATATATATATATATATATATATATATATAAACAAAAAGAAATTTAATTACCAACAGCTCTCTAGACCAGGGTTCTTCAACGTTTTCCAGGCAAAGGACCACCAGCTGATGGCGAAATGGAGCGAGGACCCCCAAACTGCAAACTGATGGTGTTAGGAATAAATGGAGATGGTGCCCAGCTTGAAAGAGCTCCTGTGTGTCGCTGAATGTTTGTATTGATGACTGAAAGACATCTTCTGCCTCCATTTATCTGTTTACTACAGTGTGTTGAATTCATTTTAATGTGTATTTAAAGAAATTTCGATTAGTGGAAAAAACTGCAGGAGGGAATATTAAAAAAATTATAATCAATCAAAAGTTTCGCAACCCCCATGCTGCATGGTACCGTGGACCCTCAAGGGGTCGAGGACATCCTGTTGAAGACCTCCACTCCAAACTATTTCATTTTTTAAAGGGCAGCCTTGATAAGGTGAACTTACACATAGCAATAAGGTAATGGACACTAGGGTTGCCTTCACCGTCCAGGCTCTTTCTAGTTTTTCCCTGAGTTCTTGATTTTTTTCCAATACTCATGTTCTTTTTTTCTGATGTTTCCATCATGTTGGATGGCCACATCAACTATGAGGGCTGTCTGCTGCTGCTTATCAATAATCACAATTGATTCTAAAAAAAAAAACTAAAGCTACTCACCATCCAGTACTTATGGGCTATACACTCAGAAGGAGGCTGAAGGAGGCCTTACGAGCATCAGAGCCACCATTGAAGATGGAACATCCAAGCTCCAAGAATACTTCAGGAAGCTCCAAGGGATGAAGCACTCTGTGAATGTCTCAGACAATGAAAGATGGAAGAGAGGGAACTGCATGGGATGTATCACCGACATATACTTGAAGAAGCTGATATGAACAAATCCTTCCAATGGCTAGAGAGGGCCGGACTGAGAGACAACACAGAAGCACTGATCATGCTAGCACAGGAGCAGGCCTTAAGCAGAAGAGAAATAGAGGCTTAGATCTACCATACCAGGCAAGATCCCAGGTATAAAGAAGCTTTAGAAACAACCCAGCACCTCACAGCAGGTTGTAAGATACTGGATTATTTTAGATTTTGGCTTTATATTTATTTGTACAAACAAAGATATTAACACTAGTAATATAGAGTTAAAAACAACTTTGCAGCAAAGTTTAAGAAGACCAAAATGACCCCACCTATAAGTCAGTATATCAAATATACACATCATGTACTATTTGTAATCAGCATAACTTTTAGCTGTTTGTCAAAGAATGAATTATAGTTTTGGATTCTGGTAGTGTTCTGCCAATAGAAGACCCTCTATATTTAAGTGTTCTTTGCTTAACTTATGTTCTACATAATACTGAATAAAGTCCCTAGACTATCTTGTTGAATAATGTAAATCCTTTTATTCAACCCCTTATTTATCCGCTTGGAGAGCAGTGAGCTGCCATTGTGTGGTGCGTTGGGAGAGGTGTGTGGTTAAGGGATTTTCCCAGGGAACCAGAGTGCGGGCTCTGGGGATCGAACCGGGTACTTGCAACCTTCTCAGAGCACAAGCCACTCCCATAAGTGTGTATATCAGAAGAATTTGTAAAGAACCTATGAAAAACTGCAGGAAAACCAGCAAATATATGTTCATATGCTCAACAAAAATATAAACACAACACTTTTGGTTTTGTTCCAATTTTTTATGAGATGAACTCAAAGATCTAAACCTTTTTCCACATGCAAAAAAATAACAATTTCCCTCAGATATTGTTCACAAACCAGTCTAAATATGTGAAAGTAAGCACTTATCCTTTGCCAAGATAATGCATCACACCTTACAGGTGTGCCATATCAAGATGCTGATTAGACACCATTATTAGTGCACAGGTAGGTGTGCCTTAGACTGCCCACAATAAAAAGCCACATGTAACTAGCTGATAGTTATTAAACTGGCATCTCCAGATTTGAACAAAAGTGGTAGTGGACATACTTTTGATTCCCTTGACAAAATACCTGTTTTAAGAGACAGAGAGAGTGCAAATTTAAGGGACTCAGTAATAGAGGAGGCTACTTCTCCTTACTGGCTTGTATATCATTATAGTCTGAAGCAACAACCTTCATTTTCAGAAGTATTTGAAGTACTTTGGAGTTGGAGGGTCAAACTCACCTAAACACGATTACTCATGGTTATGATTTATTGAAATGGATTTGTTCTTACAATACAAACTTTCTAGCTAACAAGGCGCAAATATTAACTAAAAACATCCTCAAAACATTTGCTACAAGAAGGATTGTTTCTGATACCATCTGATAACTTAAAAGGTACACCTTTGGAGGAGTGAAATTTTCTTGATTTTCCCAACTTTTCCAAATAGTATTTTTCCTTGGCATCTAATAAACTGATAAATATAATAAACTGATTTATATATCTTTTATAAAATGAAATATCAAATGATTAGGACTGATAAGAGATTTCATAAAGCTTGTATTTGGTAATAGAAAATGGTTATAGCTGATATAAGCCATAAAAACATTCTATTTCTTTATTTTACTTCTGTTTAAAGGGAAAACAATGATCACACAAAGACATAAAAATATTGATAAATGTCTCGTTAGCCATCTTATATTCAATATTTATAATCAATATATGATTAGAAAACCTCATCCCATGAAACCTTTTCCAATTCAATTTCAGAAGTTTACTCATTTTAAACAGTTAATTTACAGAGTTTCAATTTAAATTCAGTTTTTCCTTGTGAAGTGTTTGTAAATTAAAATGAAATACCTGAAGAGGATGAATAATTAACCAAAATCGATTAGATTCAGTAAAATAATACATGGAACTTCATAACCCAGAGGCTGCTACAGGAACCGCCCCCCAAAGTGGTGGAGAATGAAAGAGGAAGATCCCGTGGGACTTCCAGATACAAACAGACAAAATGATAATGGCCAGTCCATCATCTGAAAAAGAAGAAAGAAGGAAAGAAACAGCAAATCTACACAATAATATTATTATCTCCCTTAACAGAGAAGCCATTCAATGACAGTTTGAAATATAGAAACAGCAAAGAGACAAACAGTTACTTTGAGGGAGCTGCTGAAATCCACAGTTCAGGTGGGATAAACCCATTGGCCTACATGGAATAAGCTAAGGCAGGTTGAAAAGTTAATGGGCTCATCGAGCTACTTATATTTATAAATGTGTAAAAAACATAAAAATGAATATCCTAATTTTCCTTAAGTATAACAAAATGTAGGGGACAATAACATTGGCCTTGAAGAGACTCAGCTGCTGCCCATTATGTAAAGGGTTAGATTATTCCCTCCATAGTATTTGAAACCCATAATTCTGCCATGCAAAATATATTTTTTAAGATTGGAAAACATTTAAGATCTCCCCAGGAATGCACATGTCAGCGAAAGTACCTGATGACCAGGTTCAGAGAAATTACAAACCAAAAAGCTCCATCTCCGACCATACAGGCTATGTGTTATGAATTGGTGCTATATAAATAAACTGATATGAATTGAAAGTATATATTTAGCACATCACCCCAGTTCTAAAGTCCTTACACTGGCTCCCTGTATCTCAGAGAATAGACTTAAAAATACTTCTGTTAGTTTATAAATCTCTGAATGGCTTAGCACTTAAATACATCACAGACTTGCTATCAGTGTATCAACCCTCCAGACCACTCAGGTCTTCTGGCTTCAGCCTGCTCTGCATACCTAGAACCAGAACTAAACATGGAGAAGCAGCATTTAGTTCCTATGCTTCACTTATTTGGAACAAACTTCCAGAAAACTGTAAGAGTGTGGAAAGCCTGAGTTCCTTTAAATCAAGACTAAAAACACATTTGTTTAGGATTGCCTTCGACTGTTCTAGTTAAACAGTTCAACTAATACATATTTTCTTTAGTCCAACTGTTTTTAATATTCTTTTTTGTTTCTGCATTTTTTTATTTTATTTTATTTATTTTATTTATTTTTTCCTACTTGCTTTGATTCAGTTTTATCTTCCTGTATTTTAATCATGTAAAGCACTTTGCATTGTCTTTGTACTGAATTGTGCTATACAAATAAATTTGCCTTGCCTTGCCTTGCCTAAAAACAGAGAGCTACATCTGGAGAAAGCCAAATAGCAAACATAACACCTCGTAACCAACTTGTGAAGCATGGTGGTGTAGGACAGATGATTTGGGGACTTTTTTACTGCCATGGGACATGAGTCCCTTGTCGTTATCGGGTTACCAACGGTCTTCTAGGTTTACCCAAATATTCTGGACTCAAATATAAGGC